ATATGAGATCCACTAAAAGATAGATTAGATGAAAAGGATATTTGAAAATATATTAGCGAGTGAAATGATAAACAAACAAAAAAAAGCTATAAATGTATTCTTTTTTGCATTTTATCATGTTGAGTTCTCTATAATAAAGAATTTTAAAACAACTTATAAAATTTAAAAGCTTTTAGAAGTGACCTATACAAAAGCAAGTCAAGTAAAAGACTACATACTGTTAAGCTTTCCTTCTAGAATATAAACTCTTTTAAAATCGATCTTGCTTATAGCATTCATTATATTTGTTAGTAAACTAGTTAAACTAGGAAAAAACTCACAAATAAAAAATAGTTGGTAAAATTTTAAGATCCTTATCTAAAGTTTAAGAACCGAAAATAATGGCAGCTGAAGAAGCTAAAAATCTTTTGAATTTATGAGTTTAATAGATCTTTAATTGCTCATGAGGGAAAAGCTAAAAAGCTCTAGGTTGATGATAGTAATATAAAAATAAAAGTTTTCGCCTTTAATATCTATAAATGATATCAAGTATAAAAATAAATATAATGGTGAAAAAGATAATAATAAGATGGTTATGATGACCAGTCAATTCATCAAAATCTTAAAGTATAAAAAATATAATTAAAATCGGAATAAATTTATAAAAGAAGAAACATGACAAGAGAGAATCATTTTCTATGAACACAAAAAGTCATCATGCTAAATATGATTACAAAACGTCAAAAAAAAAATTTAAAAGAAAAAAAAAAGCATAGAAGGCATTAACTTAGAGTGAAGAAGATGATAATATAACCTCTTTCTTTGGATGATAATAAAATTGAAGGAACTGGCTAACTTATGCTTGATGGCTAATATTTGCATCACTAAAAAAGAGAAGTGCTTGATGGGCAATGACATCTTCAATCTAAGAGCGGCAAGGCTTTGTAGAATTTTCCAGGGAAACAAATTTATTTAAAAAAGAGTCGTTAGGCCTCAACCTCCCTAGCCTATGGCATGAGCGTCCTTCCACCAGCACCACTCTCCACGGGGAAAGCCTTTCATTTTGAGCAAATTTCATTGGAACAACGGTGCTGTTGGCCTCCGTTGTCGTCTAGCCAATTTGAGTGTCCAAATTGTCTTCCTCTCTCTTTCAATCAGGAAAAAAAAAAAAAAAACCATAACCTGCCGTTGCTAGCTAGTGGGCGAGTTTGACTCCAAAAAGTGAGTGTAGCTTTTGCGGCATGCCATGGAAACGTTTTTCTCTAGCGAGCCAACACAAAAAAAGGCGTGGATTTTTCAGAGCCTAACCTGTTAGCTCGTGATAAAGTAGGCATAGGGTTGTATTCTAGCCCAACTTGCTTGATTTAAGTTCTTGTTAAGGCACCAAATTAATATGAGCCAAATGAAATCAGAGCACAACTAGCATCCATGTATTCTTTTCTCAACAAGTCTCATATTAAAACCTTGATTTATATGACCACATGTGTGTGTATATATATATATATTAAAAAAAACCCTAAAAGGTTGTGTACATATTGCACTGTGGATTCACATGGTATTTTTTTCTTTATTTTTTGTTTTTTAATTCTAATTTATTTTATATAAAGTTATTATAGTCTCAAAAAATATTTTTATTTTTATGTATTTTTTACTTTTCATTATTTTTATTAATATCTCTCTTATTTTTTCAATTGTGTAGTTCATATTTTTGAATATTTGTTATTTTTTGTATTTTTATAATTTTTTTAAAAAATTATTGTAATTTATCTGTAACTTTCTTTCCCTTTATATTTTATAAAAAATAAATTGTGTTTTCATTATGTATTTATAAAATAAAATCATTTGTTCTTGTTATGAGAAAATAAATTCTAAGAATAAATTAAAATTTATAAATTAAAAAAACTAGAGTTAAATATATGTATACCCTTTTGTCTTTCACTTTTAGAAAAAAAGATTAGCTTTACATTTCATCCGAGAAGCCCTCAAGCCTATAGTATTTATTCTAATATAAATATATCTTTAGAAATATATCTTTTTAAGTATGACTAATCTGACAAAAAATCGTAGTTCCTACACCTTGTGTGGCATCTCCCAGTCCAACACGACTTGCACACATCTTCTTTTGATCCAATCAACTCATGCCGTCGCCAATACAGTGCCTAAGGAACTAGACCTTATGCAAAACGTCTTTTACCTTTTAATAAGAACTAATAAATCTTTCTTATATCAATTTATATATATATTTTAAAATTATTTTATTAAGTATAAAATATATATTTGGGTCTCTTAATTAAAAAGATCCTGATACTTAAAAACATATCCACACTTGTTTGCTATATTTTTCTCAGGGCTAAAAACTAGCCTAGTAGGGTGAAACTACTTAGCTATTTTTATAAGCCTTTATTTAAAAAAAATAATTGAATTCATTTAAATAAAATAAAAAAATATTTTTAGGATATTAATTTGATTCAAGTTGCAAAACATTTACATGTGTCACAAAAGCAAGTTTTTTATAGGAGAAAAATACATTTTGGTTCCATAATTTTATTCATTATCTTTCATGCAAATGTCTATTTTTATAATTATATAATTGGTTTTAAAAATATGTTATTAAAAGGTTTATATGTTAGCACCTAAGCATTACATTATTATTTTATTTTCTAATATATTTGTATAAAAAATATCAAAACATAAGTTTTTGGTTAAAACTTGTTTTTATTGTTTTGATAAGTTGTTATTTAAAAAAATAATTACTCTTGTGAAAGAATATCATAAAAAAGGGTTTGCATTAATAAAATAGAGGGGATTTTTAATTAAGGAGATGCCTTTCCTATCCTTATTTTATATATTAAGAGTTTGTTTTTTATATTTATTCTAATTGCTTTCAGTTTTTATCAAACAAACAATATCTCTCCAAAAGCTATATTAAAAAAAAATCATGATAAGAAAATGTGGAGTTATAATAGAAAAAATTTCAATAAAAATTAAATTAGTGCTTTTTCTATGTATAAAAAAAATCTTTTGACATGTAATTATATACATAAATTTGAAGAACTCTATGCGATATAAGATAATATATCTTAATTTGCATCTATTTTTTAATTTTCCAACTTAATTTTTGGTTAATTTTAGCAAATCTCTTTCATATTTATAAATGCTTATAATTTTTTGATTAGTTTTATCATATGAAGACATTATCTTTTTAGTTTACTACTATTATTTTTCTTGATGCATGGAAACATAATCGAAACTCAAGAACTAAATTTAAAATAATTTTTTTTCTTGTTATTGTTGTTATTATTCATAAGTGTTAAAACTATAGTTTAACTCTTTAAAATTTTAATCTTTGATATTTATATTTAAAATATTTCATGTTTCAGTTTAAAATTTTATTTGTTTTATGTTTTAGTCATGTATATGGACCTATATATATATTTTTTATATAATTGAATTGGATTTTGGTTTTTTAGATTAATTATAGGCTTTTTGAGGATTTGAAATGGATTTATTTAGATATTTATGATATTTTTAGAGTGTTTTAAGGTGAAAGTAATTTTCAAATAAAATTTTTATAATAAAAAAGCTGAAACCATGGCACACTCACGCCTTATATATATATATATATATATATCCTTTTATTTTTTTTGACAAAAAATCTCTTTGAATCAATTTATTAAAACAATATTTAAGAGGCCATGCAATTATGCAATTGTTTATAAGAAGACAAGTTTTTATAATGATATTACCGCGGTTGTTTTATGAAAAATTATGTATTAAATTAACATACGTAATTTTTTAAATAACTTGCTATTTAATATTTTATAAGAATAAAATATCTATCTTTAAATTTTTTATATAATCTTCATAAATTTATACTTCTTAAATTTTATATGTGTGTGATAATAGTCAATTCATGATTTTTTATTTTTTAATTTTCTTTCACGCTCATATTAAGTTTTTACTTGAAAAAATTACTTCTCACATTTTTTTTTTATCTCAATAAAAAGGAAGTGCATGAATAACTTAACTTTAAATTTCAAAAACAAATTTCAAGAAATACTTTGTGAGAAGTATTTTTTCAAGTGAGAACTGTGAAAATAAGTTTTAATTAAAAAATAAAAAAAATTATGAATCGACTCTTTAAATGGTTGTTTTTAGCGAGCGCGCGTCTGGCTCGTTTGAGCTTATGGTTTTCCCGTTAGGATGCAAAAAATGTACCACTAGGCCCAGAAAGGTTTCTAGGTTGTTCAGTGGATTAATTAAGTTATGAAAGCACCAATTCGACAAACCTTATCGTTTTTACACAATTTTTTTTTTTTTATGAGTTGTGTGTTTTGATTATTTTGTTAGAAACATCGTAAGCTATGATTTACGCTAAGCATGCTATTTTTTCTTAAAAAATTGAGTTGTGCAATAAGGTGGTGATGTTTGCTAGAAAAGTAGTTGTGAAATAATCTGGTGATCATTAGTAGATTAATTTGGAGATAATATATATTTGCTCACATGGGTTTGTAATATCATTCAGGTCAATTTCTGGAGATTAGATTAGGTAAGGTTTTTGAAAATGTGAATTGTTGCGATTGGTTTTGTTTTCTTGAATCTCTAGCGAGACCCATTTGTTTAATTAATGACCATTATAGCAACAGTTCACCTTTTTTCCAGTTTTTTGTTTTTTTAGCAGTCTTAATTGGAAGATTTTGCAAGCAAAAGATATTCGAAGGGCTTGTTTTGTTAGGTAAAGCATTTGGTTTGGAGAGAAGGTTTTCTTTCTTATCATCAACAGGTAAGAGAGAGTGTGTGTGAGGGTGGGGACATGTATACGATGGCTTTATTTCCATGGGCACTTATTGTTGGTGGGAGAAGTGATTTGACGAAGATCGTGCCTTTGGGTTGCCTTCTCTTAAGATTCCATACATTCTTTACCTCCTCTTTTTGCCTCTGAAGAAATGCAGCAGCAGCAGCCTTGAGGTTAATAAATAGTAGTAATACGTGCTACTCAACCTTTGAGGAAGTTGGTATTGCTTGCTGTTGTTTTATTTCCTCCTATCTGTCTTTATTGGGTTGTGCTGTTGGACCAACCCTAGCTTTGACTAAATTACAATAAACAATGAGCTATCAGCTTCTGTCCCATTTAATTGTCTGTAAGAATAAATCAGCGGGGCATTAAAATAGGGGGCCCTTCTGCGTTTATGATGCTCTATCTCTCTCTGAATAATTGTAGCGTATAAGTTGAGCTTCATTTTTTTTTTTTAAATGGCTTCCAAGTTGTTACCAGAAGTTTGGAAGTGGGTGTCACTTGGTTTTGTTTTTTCTTTTGTTTTGTGAAAAATTTTACATCAAGATGTGCTCATTTTTCTAAGAGTTTAGTGGGCATGTGATGGAGGTATGGATGGCATGTGGGGTTTCTGGAAAGTGGATTGAATTTGACGTCCTTTTATCTCCTCTATTTGCGGGTGTTAAAGCTCTGATATGCATGGATGGCCTTTAAAATTTCATAAAAATGATATCCTTTCACTTGCGTTTTCAAATTTCTCATTCTTGTTTAGTGTGTGTTCGGTCAAATTATATGTTTCCGTGCAGATCTACCACCAGCTTCTTCCAATAACAGCAAAACATTGTGTGTGAAGCTTGAGGTATAGGACCCAATGGATCTTGGGCATGGCAAGTGTTGGGATTCTTCGAAGGTATCTGCATTTGCATTTTGAGCTCACCTTTTGCGGCTCGTTACTTTCAATTGCATTTCCAATTGGAATGCTGGAAATTTAGTATGGCATGATGTCTTAGACTCAAATTCAGTTGATAGGATTTTGGTCACCTGATATGCTTCTGCCACTTCGCTTGATTCTTAAGAGTTTTGCTTGTGAAACTGCACTGCAGAAGGATTCTTGGAAGACATTGTTGCTTTTGGCTTATCAGAGCCTTGGAGTAGTATATGGTGACTTGAGCACTTCCCCTCTCTATGTTTACAAGAGCACATTCGCAGAAGACATTCAACATTCAGATACCAATGAAGAGATTTTTGGTGTTCTGTCTTTTGTTTTCTGGACCCTTACTCTGGTCCCCTTATTCAAGTATGTCTTTGTGGTCCTTCGAGCAGATGACAATGGAGAGGGTAAGTGTGTGAGCACTTATGTAATTTTTTGTATCGCTCAATCATCAAGTTTATTTTTATTTTCTGTATCTGGTCCAATAGGTGGTACTTTTGCATTGTATTCATTGATATGCCGGCATGCAAAGGTTAGCCTTCTGCCCAATAGACAGGTTGCAGATGAATCACTCTCCACATACAAACTGGAGAACCCTCCAGAGAAGGACAGCTCAAGGGTTAAAATGTACCTTGAGAAGCACAAGGCCTTGCACACTGCATTGCTAATCTTGGTTCTTCTTGGCACTTGCATGGTAATTGGAGATGGACTGCTCACTCCAGCAATTTCTGGTAAAATTCTTTACTGTAACATGTAATTATTATTTTAGCATCGCTTCCATTCATATAATTGACCAGCATTTTATTCTAAAATCATTTCATTTGCAGTCTTCTCAGCAGTGTCTGGTCTCGAGCTTTCCATGTCCAGTAACCATCATCAATGTAAGCTTCTTAGCTGAATTGAGTTGAAGCATTTAAATATTTTATGCAGATTCGTTTAATAGTAGATGATATTCAAACCTAGAAATAGATTTCTGTTGCCAAACCAAATATTTGGAGAAAACGTCTGCTGCAATGGGAGCAGGTTTTGTCTGCAAAAACAGCTGACTATTTCATGCTAGTTAAGTATCATATGACTGAGTTTTCCGAACCATTTTTTACGTGATCATTCTGCAGTATAGAAAGAGAGGTTATGGTTTTATGACAAAACGGGAGATTTTCAAGTGTTACCATGGTGATGTAAATTATTCAGAGTAAGATGGTGTCTGTGTAGGGCCACTGAAAATGATAAAGAATGGGAGGGGGTCTCCTTTGGTCATTCTGGTCCAGGTGGTGAATATGTTGGCCTGAAGTTTGGGGACCTTTCAATTGCCCATCTTGTGGTCTTGACTGATCCTCTCCCCAATTTCTTATCCCTTTCTAGTCCTGTCAAGATTTTGTTTTAGGCCATGTGGATAACAGCTACGCAAGTAAGAATGTGAAATTGGTGAAGTACTAGTAATATGTTATGCTTATTACTGCTTTTTTATTGTCGTTGAGTTGAAATGGGTGAATGGGAGTAAATAAATTCCTAACATGAATTCAAAGTGATTAATGGCTCTCAATATATGTTGCAATAGCAGAAGGAAAATAACTGAAAATATAATAATGTATCACTGTCTGCACTGTTTTTACTACTAATATACATTATAAAGGTTATTAATTTAGACCAAAGAGATTTTCATTTATATCCTATTTTATTGCTATTCTTGTCTCATATAGCACTCTTTATGCCATCCGTATTGCAGATGCAGTGGTTCCAATCACTTGCTTCATCTTGGTGTGCCTTTTTACACTTCAACACTATGGCACACATCGGGTGGGATTTCTCTTTGCACCAGTTGTCTTGGCATGGCTGCTATGCATAAGTGCCCTTGGTCTGTATAATATAATCCACTGGAACCCACAAGTCTATCAAGCTCTTTCTCCATATTACATGTTCAAGTTCATGAAGAAAACAAAGAAAGGCGGGTGGATGTCTTTGGGTGGAATATTGTTGTGCATAACAGGTTCTTGTTTGCCTTTTCCCTTCCTGCATGTTTGACTGGAAACCAATTTTTAAGCTCACCCTGTTCCTTGTTTGCTATATATTGCTAAACCAATAGCAGAATATGTTATAATTTTCTTTCCATGATATAAATTTGATAGATCATATTCTACGAATGAACCTCTGAATGACTCAATCTTTTCATAATTCAGCTACCAAGTACCAATGTTCTGTGTGACTCTGTATGCAGGCTCCGAGGCAATGTTTGCTGATCTTGGCCACTTCTCGTATACTGCAATTCAGGTAAATCTGACACTTATATAGTCTTTCAGAATCTTTTCTTGTCAAAGAAAGTCGGTTCTGAATGCCTGATAAAATATCCTACTCTTTGACCCATTTCAGATTGCATTCACCTTTTTGGTTTATCCAGCCCTTATATTGGCATATATGGGGCAAGCTGCTTATTTGTCACAGCATCATGACAACACAAACCATATTGGCTTTTATATCTCGGTCCCAGGTATGTCTTCAATAGTAATTTCTATGGAAATTGCACATGCACATAATTGATAGAAAGCTGGCTGAAGGGTGGATTATAATTTTGTTAGCAGAATTACTAAGATATGCAAGCTAATTCAGATTGAAATGAATTATGAGGTCCCTGCATTTGGAAGGAAAGAAAAAAGTCAGGAAAATAAAGTGCAAAATCTCTATATCAATACCTCTATCAATTTGTGCTTATACTTAACTAGTATATATATTTGACAATGAGCATACATTTTCTGGAACAGGGAAGTTAAGGATACCTGTCCTCATAATAGCTATTCTTGCTTCTGTGGTGGGAAGCCAAGCAATCATCAGTGGAACATTCTCTATCATAAACCAGAGCCAGTCGCTTGGCTGTTTCCCAAGAGTGAAGGTTGTTCACACTTCTGACAAGATACACGGACAGATTTATATCCCTGAGATCAATTGGATGCTCATGATCCTCTGTATTGCTGTGACAATTGGATTTAGAGACACGAAGCACATGGGAAATGCATCAGGTAAGTCGCACCTCCCTTCATAATTTTCTAACCTGCCATTTAATTATAGGGAAGTTGAAGTTAGTTGCACCATTTAATTTTCTAACCCCAAGACATGCACTTGTTAGATTGGAAATTGAAGCTCATTTCTGTTGATACTTGATAAGGAACACGGTCAATTTTAAGCTTAAATCTTTTGCGGGAAGCCTACCACTATTTCATTCCTTCAATCTAATTTCTGCATTAACCTTATTATATTGTAGTATTATTGAAGTTCAACATTAAAATTAGGTCAGCAATGAGGGATTCATTGAACTTGACTTTTTCACTCGTTCTTATCTGTTGCAGGGTTAGCCGTGATGACAGTGATGCTAGTGACCACATGCCTTGCTTCCCTTGTTATCATCCTTTGTTGGCACAGACCCCCTATTCTCGCATTATCCTTTCTACTTTTCTTCGGCTCCATTGAGTTGCTTTACTTCTCAGCTTCACTAACCAAATTCACCGAGGGTGCATGGCTCCCCATCCTTCTAGCCCTCATTTTGATGACCATCATGTTTGTTTGGCATTATGCCACCATTAAGAAATATGAATTTGACCTTCACAACAAGGTATCACTAGAATGGCTCTTAGCCTTGGGTCCAAGCTTGGGGATTGCTAGAGTCCCTGGCATTGGCTTAGTTTTCACTGATCTCACCTCTGGCATCCCTGCTAACTTCTCACGCTTTGTCACCAACCTCCCTGCCTTCCATCGTGTCCTTGTCTTTGTGTGTGTAAAATCAGTGCCTGTGCCTTTTGTGCCCCCTGCGGAGAGGTATCTTGTTGGTCGTGTGGGTCCTCCAGGTCATCGGTCTTATAGGTGCATTGTCCGTTATGGATATCGCGATGTGCACCAGGATGTTGATTCTTTTGAATCAGAGCTCATTGCTCGACTGGCTGATTTCATCAACTATGATTGGCATCGAAGTCATGGGACTAGCTCATTTCCTGAGAACGATGCCTCTCAATCCAATGAATCATCAAATGAGCATAGCTTGGCAGTGATTGGAACTGTCGCTTTCTCCGGCATACCAGCTTATGAGATTGAGGAGAGTGTGCAGCTAGCAAGTATATCTGGTGGTTTCCCTACAGTAGAAAGTGTGACAGATGTTATTGAAATGGAACCGGTTGGGGTAGTAGAAAGAAGAGTGAGGTTTGCCGTTGATGATGAGTCCGGATCCCATTCACCAGCTGATATGCATTTGCAGTTACAAGAAGAGCTAGAAGATTTGTTATCAGCCCAACAAGCTGGTACTGCATTTATACTCGGGCACTCGCATGTTAAAGCAAAGCAAGGATCATCACTTCTGAAGAGATTGGCTCTTAATTTTGGTTACAATTTTCTCAGGCGGAACTGCCGAGGGCCAGATGTGGCACTCAAGGTTCCGCCAGTGTCTCTTCTAGAGGTCGGCATGGTTTATGTTATGTAAGATTCCAGTGCGAGTAATTTGTCTGCATGTTTTTATATAATGGTAAACTGAAGATTAGAGCGAGGAAAGTGTGTAATGTGTATGTAGACTAGCAAGTAACTCTTTCTCAGAGTGTTGCGTCACTAACCATCAAATTCATTATGATACATAAAAAAAAAAAAATTACTTACACCCCCGATAGATTTAGACTTTCAAAAGTGTTTTAGAAAAAAATAATCAATTTTTTAATGTTTTTAGAACAAATTAATATACTGATGTTTGATGTTTAAAATGTTGTTTAAAAAGTAATATTATTTTAATGTATTTTTAAATAAATAATATTTTAAAAAATAATTATTACTATAATAACAAATGGTTTTAGAAATACATGTTTGTTTCCGTGTTTTAAAATTTAAATTTTTATTTTATTTTTTTTGTTTTAAATTAATATATTTTTAGATTATTTTAGTATATTATTATTAAAAATAATTTTTTAAAAATAAAAAATATATTATAATAATAAAATAAAAAGTATTTTAAAAAATAAATTGAAACCATATTTCCAAACACACTTTGACATTTAACATGTTACGGTGCGTAGGTGATGATATGCTTCAGACCTGGATTCCTATTTACATGTTTTGGGATAAAGATGCAAACACGTTTCCAGTGGCTAGAATTCAAACCTGAACCTCATTGTTTTCTCTGCTAAGAGAGTTTCTGTTTTGATTTTATTTGAGTCCACGCTTGTACTTTGATTTCACTCCATGACGGACAATCTACTATATCACAACATAATTATTCGACTCGCGAATTCAATGGCAATTTCTCAAAGTGGTTTCTGCTCTTCAAAGGAATGAATTATTACCGGGAGTTTGGTGTTTCTGAATTGACAAAGACACAAATGCAAAATCCTAACCATCCATTTTCTTCAGACACACGAACACATGTAAGTAAAGAGGTGCATGTTTTCATTTTTTTGAGAAAAGAGAATAATTTGGTCAGTAGATATTTGACATTTAATACGTTTGATCAAATTGCAAAAGCAATTGCTCCTCGCAATCTCGTTAGTTTGGCAAAGGACCGCGAAGTTACCCCCTAGCCACCAAATCTTTCAAGTGGCAACCATTCTACGTGTAATTTGCAGTTTGCTGTAAGAAAGTGGTTCTTCTTAGCAGGAAAGGACCAAATACAGCCACCCTAAAGATATTAAAGCAACTTACCTAGCTGTGGAGTGGGAATTGAAACTGCTAAAGTTTGGAAAAAGCAAACATGGGAGGGACTTTCATTTCAAACTCAAAATGCATTGCACAATCCGCAGCTTACAATAAATTTCCTAGTCGTTCATCATAGATAGTGTATGGCGCTTGTTTCTAATTCCTTGCAGTATGGTGCTCTAAGAAGAAAAAATGGAGGGACGTACAGGGATTTCTTTAAATCCTACATTGATGGTATGATTTTTGTTCATTTCGGACTTCATATGTTTTCCTATCATATTGTGCCCTTGTCTTCAAGGAGAATTAACAATTTGAGTAAAAGAATAGAAGAACAGCATAGTTTTGCCAGCAGTTCTTGGTTCACCGTTTTTCCATGCTTTGTTCCGAACAATATCTTGCCTGCAAACCAATATTTTCCCATTTTCATCAAATTTAATGCATGAAGTGCCTGGCACTTGACATTTAGCTAGGCTCTGGTTAAAAGAAGAAGACACTAGTGATAAAGGAGACAGACAATGTTTGATAATGATTTATAAAAAAGAGTAACTATCTTTTATTATGTTTAGTTAATGATGGATAACACAAAATATAATATATAAAAATATTTTTTTCTTATTATGTTTTAATGTAAAACTTATATATTTTTTAAAACTAATTAGATATTAATTTTTTTATTTTACTATAGTTTATATTGAGTTTTTAAGATTAATAATAGTATAATAATCCTAGTTATAAAACTTGGATCGATCTAGCAAGTCAACTCAAGACATGGCCAATCTAAATCTATAATAGTTTGGGTTTCGTAAAAAAAAAGAGGAAAAATTGACCTAACTTGACCGAGTAAAAAACTAGGCTGAGCTACAACCTGATCGGTCTTGGGTAAAACCTAGATTAAAATATATTGACTTTGTTTTTGAAATTTTTAGGTAAAAATAACATTATTTTTCTTTCTTTAAAAAAAATATTGGGGTAGAACCTCTTGATTTATTATCGGAACCTTGCTTTAGGTTGAATTTTAAAATTATAAAAATAATTATTTTTATTTTTATATTTAGTTAGACAATTTTAGAATTAAATTTTTTTATATGGATATTTTAAAGACAAAAAATAATAAATATTATCTATCAAAACACATTGTAAAAACCCAATTAAATCTTTTCTCGATTAGAAAAATAAAAGAATTTATTTAACCCACAAAATAAATTGAATTAAGCAAAATGAAATAAATTTAGATAAAAGAGAAGGGTGAAATTGGATAAAAGAAAAGTGATAAGGCATAAATTAATTTAGAAGAAAAAGAAGAGGGATAAAATGGAAATATAATACAAATAGAGGTTAATATGTAATTAATGAAAAATTTGGATATAAATATCCAAAATTTCTCTCTTGGCGGTGGTTTCAACACAAGAGAGGGGAATTTTTTTTAAATTTCTTCTACCAAATTTTTGTTATATTCATCAAAAAAAAAATTAGATTGTTCAAGGGTTAAGCAAGAAATCAAAAGAGAAAGTTAAGGGTTTTAGTGGGTTATTCATAGGATAAATTAAGGGTCAAGGTTTTGAAAAAGGAAGAAAAAAAGGAGTTGAGGGGAACTTTGGTTCTTCTCCATCCAACACTTGAAATACCAATCAAATAAGGTAAGAAATGCATCCAAATAGATTAATTGCATTTAATTTGTGGTTTTGTTAATGAAATGAAAATTAAGGGTTATGTGAGGATGCAAATGTGTTGTTTGGGTGATGAATGAATTTCATTATGCTTGATTAAAGCTTGTAAACATGTATTATGGTAGGGTAATGACTTAGTTTCAAGTTTTGAAAAGATGAAAAACCCTCCCTTGTTATCTTTGAATTACAACCAAAAGGGGGAAATTATAGAAAAGGGGAAAATTATAGAAATGAGAATTTTGATAGAATTGATTAGGATTGTATGAGATTATAATTAGATGAAAATTAATGGATGGAAAAAGGGTAGGAAATTTCAAAAAAAAGGAGAAAAGAATCCTCATTGCTTGTTAAAAAGGGGGGGGATTGTAATTTTTCTTAACTTATTAATGTAGAATAATATGTTTAAACAAATTCAGTTGAATTATCAAAATGTTAAAAATAGATTAGTTGTAAAGAAATGAAAAGAAAATTTTACTCATTAAGGGTAAGAAACCTAATCAAACTCATGTAAAAGAATTAATTTTGGTTAAATTAATTAATAAGTAAGTTGTATGAAGATGTGTCGATTAAAAAATAAAAATGAATAAAAAAAAAGGAATTGACATTTATACATGGCTAGAATGAGAATTTTCTATGAAAAAATTTATATGGAGAATGAAATTGACTAATATCATAGATGAATGATAAATGATGTATTAATTCTATTAATATAAAAGAGGTTGTGGGACCTAATCAGTAGTAAAAAACCAACTCGCATGTATAGACATTAGTAGGTGTTAAATACTTTAGAAGGAACTATTTTATTTTCTAAAAAGTAGTTTCAATTTTTTAATTGAATTTTAGTATAAAATGAAAAACAAGGAAAAGAAAATTTGAGAGATTAACTCCCTAGTTAATGGGCTTAATGCCCTTTTTAATAGGCGATTCAAGAGACTAATTCCATGAATTAACAGAATTAGTGCCTTGACTAATAAGTGATTTGAGGAAATTAATTCTCTAGTGAATGAGATTCGCGCCCTAGTTTATAGGTAATTGGAGAAACTAATTCTCTGGATAATGGGGATTAATGCCCTATTAAATTGACAATTGATAATAAAATTTAGATGATTTATAATAAAATAAAATAATGGTGTAGTAAAAGATAAATTGTTGATAAATAAAGGTTGTTAATATATATAGATACATGTAGATGCATATGATATATTTTTTGAATTATCATTGAGTAAAAAAAATAAAAATAAAAGGAGGTTGATTAGGCCTAGTATAAAAAAAACAATTAAGGTACTTCACAACATCGATCCGAGAAGAAGATTTGATATTATGTATCCTTTGAAAAATCAATTGATGTAATTTGGGAGTAGAAATACTTTATTGTAATATAATTTTGTATTGAATTGTGTTTCTTATCAAAATTAATTATGGATGATGTATTTAAATAAATTATCTTTTTAATTATATTTATAAGTTGTCGCACTTTTTTTAGATTTATATATTTAAGTATTAGTCTTATAATTGGTCATAGTAATAAAGAAATTATTTTCTTGATTCTATTAAATAAGTATAGAAGAAAATGGAATGCTGATGTCATGATTAAGTTTTCAGAGTCCGATGTATTGGAACAAATATTGTTTGTAGATTGTGAAATTGTTTGGTTGATAACTTGGTATTAGAAATATAAAGAAAACTCTGCATATATATATCAAGATGGTTTACACAAGGAAAGGTGCGATGACAGATCCCTCACTAGCAGGGACTCAGGTTCGAGAAGAAGGATTCGAGGAGATGTTGGGAAAAAAACTCGTAGAGGATATTACCTTTCACATACCATTAATTCTTATCAGTCAAGACTAACAAAATCAATTGGACTTCTAAAAGATGCTGATTCAAGGCTGGCTGGAGTGTCACAACCTAGGGAGTCTAGTTAGCAAAGATAAAGAGTCGTACCCCCAGCTATAATAATAATACCTTTAGCAACCCCTACACTACATGTTGACCCAACATTCATAACTCAAATAATAAGAGTAGTGATTGAGGCGATGCCCAGTACACTAACCCTGACAACCCTAGTAGCCTTGGTAGTGTAGACAACACTAGTGGTGATAATACTAGCAGATAATGTAGTCATGTTGGTATGTATTATACAGTATGAGGGAGTTAGGATGTGAATTCTTTTTTGATGAACTAGATGTAGAGATAATAGTTAGGTGGCTTTGCACAATTAAAGACACCATGGACCAAATGCGTGTACTAGAGGGTTTGCGAGTTAACTATACCACCTATGTACTTTTTTACAAGACACAATCTTGGTGGG